GAAATTCACTTTGCACGCTCACTTCTTCTTGGGAGCGGCTCTCTTGGCCTTGGTGGGCTTAGGCTTGGCAACTTTGGGCTTAGTCGCCTTTGCTTTCTTCGGGCTCTTGGTTGCCTTCTTAGCTGCTGTCGCCGCTGGCTTTTTAGGCTTCTTGGGGCTCTTAGTCGCCTTCTTGGGCGCAGCTGGCTTCTTCGCCTTCTTGGGTGACTTCTTGGCGGCCGCGGGTTTCTTGGCCGCTGGCTTCTTGGGCTTCTTAGCCGCGGCAGGTTTCTTGGCCGCCGGCTTCTTGGCTTTAACAGGCGCTTTCTTGACGGGCTTCTTCTTGGTAACCTCCACCTGCTTCTTGTTCAGCTTGAAGGAGCCAGAGGCGCCGGTGCCCTTGGTCTGAAGCAGGGTGCCTTTGGTCACCAAGCCTTTCAGTGCCAACTTAACGCGGGAGTTGTTCTTCTCCACATCGTAGCCGCCCGCCGCCAGAGCTTTCTTCAAGGCAGCCAGAGAGAGTCCGTTCTTCTCCTTGGAAGCGGACACGGCCTTCACGATCAGCTCTCCGACGCTGGGACCCGCTTTCTTGGGTTTGGCGGCGGCTTTCTTCTTGGGGGCCTTGGCCGGAGCGGCCGCGGCGGGAGCAGGTGCTGCTTCAGACATTTTCTCGCTCGAACGCTTCTCTACAAACAGTCTCTAAGTCGGAAAACTCCGCTGTGTGTGAAGCAGACGCGTCATGGTGGGTTGTCCTTAAACGCGCGATGAGAACCGTGTAGACTCAACTCGGGCAGCACGGCGCTTGCAGAGCTCACCGAGGCGCTTTCTCTTGTGTTTTCTCTTCGCACAAATCTGCAAAATAATCGCCCGTGGAGCTGCCTTCGACGCAAACAACCCACGAAGTAGAAGCCCAGGGCCCTCCTCTTAAAAACCAAGCAATATGTTTCGAGAGGCACCGCTTAGTTTTCTTCTGATTCGTCCAAAAGTGCTCCCTTCGGTGGTTAGATCAGACCGCTCACGGGGCTTCTCTCTCCATATTACGCATATTTAAAAAATAAAACAGCATAGTTAGCTGGTGACTGCTTGATGGACATTGTCAGAAAGGCCACGTGTATCGGAAAATACTGTTCTGATCCCAAACTTTTAAAGCTGAAATCGTAAATTTCAACTTTTGTGAGTGCAGTAAAACACACCTCGAACCGGGGCACCGATATCTAAAAGGACGTCGCGTGTTCGATTCACCACCTTAGTTTAAAATAATCATTGTCTCTGCCATTTGGTATAACGCAGGAAAAAGAACCCCTTTAACGTGTATACGTTTGCTGCGAATGTTGATTTCCATATAGGACATTTTGCTATAGCTGGTCGATATACACCCCTCTCGCGTTATAGCAACTAACCCGAACACTCGACCATGACTCGACAACACTCGAGCACCTTTAAACGGAATAATGAAAAAGGTTAAATCGCTCGAAAACATATGCCGTATTCACGCACCGGGATAGAATTAGAAAATCAGTAGAACTAACATGTCTTGTAACTTAGTGTAATTTGTTACGGTAGAGTTACTTTATGACAACTTTATCTTGCCACAAGTTTCACTTCCTAACCTATTCAGCTGACGTGGAATTTAGGGACATCAATGATTTTTTCAATGATGTACGTACATTTCTACAAAATAAACATACAATCTAAATGCCCCTGATGAGAAATACATCTCAGTGTTTATCTTAATTCTGTCATTTTCATAATGTCATTTGCAAATAATTACATGGATATTAATCAATGGATATTTTCCCTTTATGTCAAGGAGAGAGCTCGAGATACTTCAGGTAACCTGATTTAACACGTTTTTAATCAGATTACCACTATCAGGCTACTATTATTATTGGACCATTTCATCTAGCGAATTAAACGCAGATGTAATCCCAAAACAAATTTGCAGAGAGAGGTTGGACTAGATCATTGCAAGTCCTCTTCATTCTGTTCCAAACACTCATTTCTGGTAAACGCTACAGGTCCGTAAAAGTGAACTCTACTTGCTACTTAGCTATTTTCCCCAATATCCCTTACTAATCAATTTCGATATGCAACAACTAAACCACAGTTGTTCAGTGCATGCATTGTGTATATTATACAGTCCGTCTCCTGTATGCTATACCTTGTACAGTACTTTAAGTTAACTTCTGTGTGTTGTTTATTATACAGTAAGTGTGCTCATTGTGACGTATTCAACTGAGGTGAAATCAGTTTTAGGTTGGATATTCGACGGATATTCAGATCCACACTTTCCAGACTTAGCGGCGGTGCTTCACTCACGCTAGGAGGCATAAGGCGGTCTAAAGACGACCAGATCAATTCCACAGCCGCGGAGACGCTCGCTCGCCGCTGATTTAGGGACCGTCAACGAATTACTGTCAGAATAATAAAATACTGATTGCTTGCAATAACTTCAATGCAATGGAATCCAGTAACTCCAAAACGGGTGCATATTCTACAACTACCTGACATACACAGGACACAGTGAATTCTACCAATTTTTAACACTTTATTGTATTTTTATCATTTTAAAAGAAAAAAAATGGGTAAATAGATTTATTTCAATAGCTTCTAGGCAATAGGAGCTTATGACCCCCAAATGGGTGCAAATTATACTACTACCTGAGCACTATAGGACACAGCAACTTTCATTCGATTTTAACCCTTTGTGTACTTGATATGATTTTTTTCTCTAAAATTAGGCCCTTTTTTTCCCCAATAGCTCCTAGGCCATGGGAGCCTGCGACCCAAAACTTGGTGCCAATTGTAGTACTACCTGACTTTCATTCAATTTTGACCCATTGTGTACTTGATATGATCTTTTTTATTCAATAATTGAGACGCATGCGGTGTTTGAAGTTTTTGCTCACAACTAGTCCTGGGACAAAAAAAATCAGAAATCAGGACCGTAGGCCCCAAAAATTGCCTACTTCAGACCCAAGCAAGTTGTTGGAGATGCTCCTTATCATCCTGATGTGTATAGAGGTACAAATATATAAGAATTAAGTCCCGACCCCAAATATTTGTCCCGTGATGCATTGCAACTCAATGTCCAAAAACCGCATGCGTCTGAATTAGAGACTGAAGGAGACCTTATGCTTCCTTGTGGTTCACTTAACAACACTAAAGGGCTCTGCCCATGCGTCGGTTTTTCACGCGTCGGGTGTGAGAATGTGTTGATGAGCAAGGTCCGAGGGAAGCGGGGACTTGGAAGGACGGGAGCTATAAAGGAAGGTAAGGCACAGGAGATGCTGAGAACACAGAATAAAAGCTCTGTAGGTCACATGAAAACAACAATACCTGACACAGAATGTGGGGGCGATCCGGGCATTAAAGGCAGCGGGACAGGTGCAGTCACTAAGGGAGGTGTGGGATGTGACAGTAACTTTCTGAAAATTTCTTAGTGGTGCTATATAGTGGGTTTTATTAACCTTGAACGTCATTAGGGTGACACAATTTCACAATAAGAATACATATACAGTGCTTGAGAGGATACAAACAAACGTTGCTGTGCCTTATAGGGCTGAGGTAGTACTACAATTAGTACTAGGTTTTGGGTTGCAGGCTCCTACGGCCCAGGAGCTATTGAAAAAAAAAGGCTAATTTTAGAGAATAAAAATCATATAAAGTACACAAAGGGTTAAAATCGAATGAAAGTTGCCGTGTCCTATAGGCCTCAGGTAGTACTACAATTGGCACCGGGTTTTGGGTCGCAGGCTCCCACAGCCTAGGAGCTATTGACAAAAAAGGGCTAATTTTAGAGAAAAACATTATATAAAGTACATAAAGGGTTACAATCGAATGAAAGTTGCTGTGTCCTATAGTGCTCAGGTAGTAGTAGAATATACACCCATTTTGGAGTTACTGGATCCCATTGCATTGAAGTTATTGCAAGCAATCAGTATTTTATTATTCTGACAGTAATTCGTTGACGGTCCCTACATCAGCGGCGAGCGAGCGTCTCCGAGGCTGTGGAATTGATCTGGCAGTCTTTCGACCGTCTTATGCCGCCTTGCCTGAGTGAAGCACCGCCGCTAAGTCTGGAGAGTGTGGATCTGAATATCCGTCGAATATCCAACCTAATACTGATTTCACCTCGGTATCTAACTGTAACAGATTCTTCAGACACTTCGGATCCCTGGTGAATAAAACAGTTGCTGTTCTAGATAATTTCAGCTGCGGGGGCAGACTTGGGTCAGCTGTTCTGTTAGGGGGGCGCAGATACATTTTATCTTATGTCCGCCAAGTATTAGATTAGTTTTCCAGCATTAAGAAGTAATAGACAATTTTGAAAACCGATACGTTATTTATGCAATGCTTTGCAGCTACATTTTACAGTTTTTACGAAGATAGAACTCGCTCTGATATCTTGTTTAGACTGTCTTTCTTCCACAAAATTGGTATATTTTTCTCTCGTTAACTTTTCACCAACTGAAGCCAAGAGGGCCTGGCTGCAGCACGTGCACTCTGCCTCTTGCACGCTCTGCCTCTGACGTCACGTGCACACTCTGCCACAACGGGGTATTTATCCGTGTAATCGCTTATTTATTTCAAATGTAGTGCTAATTAAGCACAATATAATACATTTTCAAGCTGTAATCGTTCTATTTATGAAGTATATGAAATTATTAATGTTACCGCGTGCACATGTAGGTTGTTAGGCTGTCTTATGCTGTTTATTATAATGCTACATTTTAAATACCAGATCAAGTGAATGAAGCTAAATTCTGGCCTGTCATTCCTGTAATTATTGGCGTAATTTATTCTCAATTATTGGCCCGTCGCTATGAGGGCACTTAGGTTCAGACACTAGTAGTAAATTTCCCCTCCATGTAATCCCAGGACAAATTCATCATGCAACCATTCTATCGCGATAATGTGGAGGTAGAATACACAATGAAAGTTCTGCTAAATTGGCTGCAACCTAGTGATAGAGGTCAAATAAATAACACTTGTATACCATACTGTTTATTAAGTGTTGGTACTGCACTCCACTTCTAATTGTCCACATGCGTGACTACGTACTATTGACAGGTTAGTCCCACTACATTATTCCATCCTTGTTCTCATGAGTAATAGTCTAGACTTCCCAAACTACCTTCTGTTTCGAGTGGTGGACAAAATTCTGTGCTAAAATGCTGACGGAGCAAACAGCACATAAAATACCAGAGTCCACACCAGTCAAATTTGCTCAAACCCTATCAAACAAGACTTTCGCTTTAAATGACCATTTCACATCTCATCAGTCGGATTTTTATTTGTTACTGAGACCTGGTGACCTCACCACACTTGGCTCTCTGTCCTCCCTGTTGCAGCTTCTTAAACTCCCGCAGCACCATACTGTAGGTCGTGGTGGTGACCTAGCCGCCGTTTTTAAAAACCGGTCGAGGTGCAACTCACGATAGTTAATGTCCTTTGTGTATTGATGTACAGACCACCTAAAAACAACAATAATATAATTCAAGAGTTTTCTAATCTCCTGTCCTTTATGGCTTCACACTGATACTGGTTGTAGGGGATTTTAACACCTGTACAGTATTTGTTGTACATCAAAACTTATGGTGGAGTTTCTATGCCTTGCAGATAGGGTTGCAAAATTCTAGGAATATTCTTGTTAATTCCCATACTTTCCCGTTAATTCCCATGGAAAGTTTCTAATGTGGAATATTTC